TGGTACATCCATTCATTGTTATTATTATTGTTGAGAGAAGAATAAGATTGGCGGATTGAAGGAGGAGGAGGAAGGTGGAGAGAGAAGGGGGAAATTGTTATCTCCGGTATTTACCTCTTTGCAAGTGCTTTCATTTCCTTCGCAATTTGGTGGCATTGTCTTTCATTGTGAATTTGCACTTTGGAAATGACCGGGATCGTAACAGAAATAAATAATCGGTGGCTTTGTCAGAGATTACACATTTGGGTCCAACAGGTAAGTTCAGATTCCTACAAAAGAAACTACTTCGACTTTGACTAGTTCGCAAACAAAAAGCACAATGAACGGAAAGCAGTTCTAACTATGCTGTCTGTCAGATGTTAATGGCTGTACATCTAACTAATCCAAATAAAAATAGAATCATTTGTTGGGTCTGTTTGCAGAATGGAATCTTACCCAAACTTATCACGTGGAATCTACCCCTCCCTCAGTTCTTCATGAATGTGTCTTGTCGTCACCGTCCCTGAGCAATCCGGAACAGCATGCGTGTCTAAAGGTGTGCACACGGCCCATCCTTGTGCCTCGAGTCCTGCTGAGCTGGCCAGCCCTGCACCGTATTTATCCTCGCGTGCAGGGAGCCAGCCTTACAATGACCGATTGGCTGATCAGGAGGTATTTTTTTTTAACGTCGCAAACAGGACGATGATCACGGCCAAGGGAAGGTCCCCGTCGGTACTTGTTTATAGACGTCCGGTACTCGTCTTTCCCGAAGGGCTGGCATGCCCCTCAGAACCCCTCTATAGTGCAGCGAGCAGACAAAGGACAAAGCAGCAAAGCATGCGTGCTCTACTCCCGGTGGATTGGCATGGTGACCGTGACCCAGTGCTTCGTCCAGGGCCCTTCAGATAGCACCGCCCTTTCCTTCCAGATGCTCCACGTGAACACTGACAACTCTCAAAGTTGAGCGCACACGACTCCTCACATGAGAGGACTCTCAAGACGGAACACACATCCTCATGGTAAGAAGTGTCGAAGAGGGTAGATAAGGTTAGGTGCAACATACCTCAAAATAGCTGCCCCCAACCACAGATATTCTCACCAGATGACCCGATGCCGATTGTGATGACCAATTGCTGCTTCGGCACAGCCAGCATTACAGCGCCGTTCCACCTCAGCACCAATCGCACATCAGATAGTTCTCATCACACTGCGAACACCCAATATTCCACATATACCCTTCCTGGCGATCCCCTCTCCACTTGGGGCGCCTGCTTGCCTTTGCCCTCCTCACTACACACTCCCTATGGCCGCTCGCTTAGCAGACCGCATGCATGTACCGCATAGGCAGAAGACAAGCACCAGATGAGCGCACCGTACCACAGCTCCGATACCAAATTGCAAGGAAAATGAGCGATAGCGAACTTCATAAATCAAACGGCATCATACACATGAGACCAGATAGTCGTGACTTCAAACCAATAGCAGAATTGCTCATGAGTTCAACCAAATAAGAGCACAGCAAAAACTCAATAATTGACAATGCTGGAATAGTCTCATCATCATCAACGAAGAACCAATGTCGATATCCTATCTGGCGCTCGGCCCCCAGACTACAAATGGCAGATCCTATCTAGCCTATCTACAATGCCGCTGATGACGTCAACAGCTCCCCGAAGTACGAGCAGATCTCGGCCAATGCCGTACGCTTCAAGCACCAGGTATATCTCTCGTATCACTCAAAACCTCGTTCCCCAACTCACAGATGCCACATGCACCCAAGGACCACCCGTGGGGCCTACTCCCCATCCAGCATACAGCAGCGCAGCTCGGCTATGGCTGCCTGCTCCTTCCAGCTCGCCCGTGAGCGCGTGAGCGCTGGCCAGCGTTAGCTCAGCAGCGCTTGCGCAGCATGCATCCAGTGCCCGAATGTCCAATGCGTGGGCAGGCCCTTTTCTGTATCGAAATGGCCTGCTGCTGCGTGCGGTAATGCGGTACTGGGCCCCGGCCCAGAAGCTTCTCGTAGGCCCCACGAGGCTGAGCCTAGGTCCAAAGGAAACAGGCCCAGGGCCTGTGGTGGTTACCAGCGCCCAACTGCCCTCAGCCTTTGTTCGGTGCATGTTGTGTATCCGGCTCAGGGCCTGCCTCTGTTACATATGATGAGGCAGCCTGGGCCTGGGCGCTTCCAACCAACTGGCGCTGCACAGCTGCCTGAATTTTCCCCAGTTGCGTAGTAGTCCAAAATAGGCCTCGGTTGGGCCTGCCTTCACTTTAGGGCGGCCGACCTTGCTGATAACAGGCCCCAGTGGGGCTTATTGAGGCCTTGTGCCTCGCAGGGATGTGAAAGCAGCTGTATACAGAACATTGGGTACACGTGAGAGGAAAAAAGCAAAGACGTTAGGGACGTGAAAGCAGCGGTGTGCAGAACATCAGGTACGTGAGAGTCTGCCAAAGGGCGTTACTGCCCTCAGTATAACACGGCAATAGGAAAAAAAAAGAGGAAACAAAAAAGCAACAACTCCTTGGATGTGAAAGCAGCTGGATACAGAACATTGGGTACGAGTGAGAATATGCCCTCCCAAAGGGCATTACAGCCCTCAGCAAACACGGCTGTACAAAAAAAAAAAGTGAAAACAGCAACAACTCTTTGGACGTAAAAGCAGCTGGATACAGAATCTTGAGTACATGTGAGAGTCCCCTGTTGGTTGCAGGTGTCAGCTGTCCGTGGAAAGCGCCCTGCCTGGTTGGCAGGGGACTAAAACTAACTTAGAAAACGAACACAAAAAACACAAAAAATGAAAAACGAAACTATCGATGATTCTGGGCAGATGCATTCCTGGAGGCACTACTGTGAGCACACCTCCTTCGTGGCTTTCCCCGACGTCCTTCCTTTCAACTCTGCAGTCTTTTTTTTTTTTTTTTTTTCACCTCCGATTGGGCGCATGAGGCCCAAATGTTTTGTTTTTGCGAACCCTCGCCCGGACCCCGGAACTTGCGGTTGAGTTCATTTTCCTTTATGGGAGTACAGCTTGGAAAGGTAGTGGTGGTTTAATGCATGCTCAACCTGAGATCCGCGCCATGGATGCTCTTGTTTTTCTTGTCCAAAAAAAAACAAAGAAGGGCATTGTTGCGGCTGTATGTATTGGGATAGTCGACCAATGACATTTGTCATGTTGACTGTCGCATTGGTGCTTGAAGTGTTCACTGGGCAGATAATGTATGTAGTCGATCATCTAATGGTTTTCACCCTGCCTGCCTGCCATCCTCCTCCTCACCCCCTATTGCCTGCCGTTTCTGTTAGGTGCAATGGGAAATAAGCTGTGGCACTCACGAGAGACTCATCCTTGTGTCACTTTTCCCCCCTCTGTCTCTCCCGATTGTTTCATGTCTACTCTGTTCCCAGATTGTACCTGCTCAATCACAGCTGTGTTAGAGAGAGAGAGAGAGATAGAGAGAGAGCTCTGTGAGGGTATGTGCATGGATGTCCGTTCCCCGTGTGTATGTGTGTGTTTGGGTGGGTGAATGGGTTTGTATGGGTGTGGGTGGGTGGGTGGGTGTGTGCGCGCGCGCGTGTGTGTGTGTGTGTGTGTGTGTGTGTGTGTGTGTGAGAGAGAGAGAGAGAGAGAGAGAGAGAGAGAAAGAGAAGGAAGCTTAGGGGGTTATTGTTTGACTGACATGGAGCTCACATGTTTTGTTTTTCCAGATTCATCAGGGGAAGGGCGATCCCAACTCTGGCAAGCGGGCAGAGAGGAGGTACAGATCCACAAGGCCGTTGTGGCTGAAGCCTGGGTGATTCGGCTATGGGAACCCATGTCTTTGGTGAAACACGAAAAGGGAGGCATTGGCGGCGCTAGTGCACACTTTTTTTTGGGGGGTCTTTGGGTCGGGGTATGTTTGCATCTCTTCTTTAGGAGGAAGCAGCTGTCGGAGGAAGAAAATGGCTAATGAAGCTGTGAAAAATTTGAACCTTTTTGGAGCACTGGTTCGCAGTGGTAATCTCAAGGCTCTGCTAGCGGGCTTGGACAAGAAAGATGAAAATTCGAAAGAAGGCACCAGCGAAGGTGGTGGGCATAACGGGCGTGGCCTATCGCCGCCTCCTGGACTTGCTGCAGCCGGTTCGTTCTCGCCGGCGTCTTCAAGCAGCGGCTCAACGGGGAAGCTTGTCAAGGAGCTCTCTTCCTTAGCCAATGTGGTGGTTGGGAAATGTGCAAGGTATCGGGATAACTTCATCCGTCAAGCACTGCTTGTGTCTATTAAGTACAATGTGCCTGCCTGTAATTGACACGCAAACACAGAAATTACAGGGTTGGTGCGAGTAAAGTTGACCACTTTTCTCAGGGGTACTGCTAACTCTGGGCGACGTGAGTCCTTATCCATCAGTCAAATGCGTCCTGGGAAGACTGTCGGAGTTCAACCTCCTGCCGAGTTGGTGACAGTCCGATGAAACAGTCTGGCACAGTCGCACTTTTTTTCTGGAGTTGTGTATAGCGAACATGACAACACACACACACACACGTACATAGAGACACAGTTGGGTGTGTGTTCGATGGCTGTGATGGACTGCTGTCTTCCCCCGAATAGATCGTAGGGTCATTAGAGCTCTATTAGGGGCAACTTTCCGTCAAGATGCAGCAATAATGACCGTATGGCCTATTCAGGGAAGATGGTCGTTTCCTGGACTTACTGGTGTTATTGTCAGGAGTTGCATTGGTTGGTGGTTGTGCGGTGAGAGTAAAATCGGCAAGTTTGAGTTTAATTGCATAAAATCGACGGTTTTTCTCAAGGCTATTGGGCAAAGTTGTTAGGTGAGTCCTTATCCATCAGTCAAATGCATCCTGAGCAGACTGTTGAGGGTTAATCCTCCTGATGAGTCGGTGAAAGTCAGATGAAACAGTCTGTCACAGTCATCGTTTTTTTCTATGTTGGACCGTCGCCCAGCAAAACCAGACGGGTCACAAAAGAGGCAAGGATTCCCCCCCCCCCCCAAAAAAAAAAGACTTCAGGCCAGGACTGCACTTGGCGTAAGCAGTCAGAATCCGGTCTTAACTTCGGTTTTGGTGATGGGTCATCCAGGGGGGGGTTGGGGGGTATAAACAGTGACTAAAGGGCTTAAAAGGGTACGTTTGGACTCATGTTTTCTTATTTATTTTTATCTTGAAATTAACAAGGTGGCCCTCAGGCAAACGTCGTTTGTATTGCAATTTTACATAACATATTATTTTTCCGGATTTTTTTTGAATGTTTTTTTCTATTTTTTAAAACATTATGTGCTGGGATCGCCTGGGACCCTGCCCGAGGACTGCCCGGTCCGGGCCGCCCGGAAGGGTACGACCTTCCCCCAGCCGGGCCGCCTGGGTACTAACACAGGTTTTTTTAGCTGTCATTATAATTTGAATCAAGGTGCTCGTTTGGTTGGTGTTGTGTTTAGCAGATACACAACACAAGCATGTTGTGCCTGCTATACAGGGATGCTTATATGGAGTGAACATGCGGATGTATATGGATAGATGGATGAATGGAGGGATGGAGGGATTGAGCTTGTTGTGTCTTCTTCTTCTTCTTCTTCTTCTTCTTTTCTTCCGTCGCCTTGTTGCATCTCCATGCTGCTCCTTCAGCAGCCCTGTGTCATGCGTGTGTCACATTGCTCAGACATTTCCGTCATACTTGAGGAGTGAAAATTTCAGGATTTTGGGAATTGTTGAATCCTTTCTGCCACCATTATTTATAGAATTCAGGAATTTCCATAGTTTGTGTAAATTGTTTTTCCTCTTCCCTACACTATTAAAATCGTTAACGTGACAAATCTGAAACCCGGGCTGTCGTCGGTCCTACCGGCCCACGGCCCAGATCGACCGAACCATGTAACAAATCTGCCATCTGGGCCGTCGGGTCCTACCAGACCGACGGCCTGGATAGATGCGGTCTTAAGATCTTAAGATTGCGCATCAATCCATTCCGTTGGCCCGGTACGTTGGGCCCGACGGCTGGGATTATTTGCCTGTTGGAGAGGGCCATGGTACACTACCGGTGGTTTCTTGGCGCGGTACGTACCGGTGGGGTTTTGTTTTCGGGCAAATGGGTTCCCATAGGCTGCCCGTGATGCAACTACTTTTTCGTGGCGGCGTGTACTGTTTTTGGATGGGGCGTGCATTTTTGGTGGCGGCATGGGCAAATTCTACAGCGTGGGAAAGACCCACCTCTATGCTACTCTACTCTGGACTATAGACTTCTAGTTTCCTATCCTATGCTACTACGCTCGACTTCGACTTTACTACTCTACACTACGCTACCACGCTCGACTTCGCCTTGGCATGTGGATACACACGTCCGGGCAGACTGTCGGGGTTCAACCTCCTGATGTGCGGTGGAAGTCCGACGAAACAGCCTTGCTTAGTCATGCCCACGCACGCAGTCGCAAGAGAGAGAGAGAGAGAGAGAGAGAGAGAGAGA